TTCTTCCACAAGACAAAAGATTCAGAAGTGCCATGCTGGGACTGACTCCAGTCATTTTACAATCAATCTTGTATTATATCTCCTTTTTTTTTTTGGCAGAACCAAGGATTGAACTCAGACCCTTGTGCTTGCCAGGCAAGCGCTTATTCTACTGAGCCATCTCCCTGGTCCCTGTATTATCTCTTGATAAACAGACTATTTCATTCTACTGAGCTCAACAAAGGATGAACATTAACACAATGAAGCTATCCATAGTTTTGGAAGGAAGCAAGGCATTTTAAAGGCAGACACAAGCCAACAAAATGGGGGTCCCATCTTACCAGCAGTCTTCTGGTTCCTGTGGGTTGTTTTTAGGGTTTTGGGGGGGGGGTTGGGGGAGTACTGAGGATCAAATCAAGGCAGTGCTGAGCTACATCCTCATCTCTTTTTAACATTTTGAGACTGGGTCTCACTAAATTACCCAGGCTGGCCTCAAACTTAATCTCCTTCCTCAGCCTCTTTTTTTCAGTTTTATTGAGACAATCTCATTATGTAGCCTAGGCTAGCCTCAACCTACCAAGTGAGTCTCTTGAATAGCTGAAGTTATAGGCATGTACCACAGTATGTGGCTTGATTCCTGTTTGAAGGCAGTGTAATTTCTGTTGTACTTCCTTTTAATCTAACCAAGCATGGGTAATGTCATCAGCACATCAGTGAGTCTGATGTGAACTCTTATCAATACATGGGACATGATCTCTGAGTACTGCTGAGAAGCAGATTCAAAGGGTACAAAGGGTAAAGATAAGGGCCAGCCTTGCAGCTCAGTCACAAATGTACATGGCTCTGCCCTACAGATGCAACTACAGAAGTCACTAGGTACATCAAGGCAATAAATTAAAAAGTGTACAGTGCTTATGAGCTTGTAGTCCTAGCTAAAAGAAGGATCACTAAAGCTAGGAAGGAGTTCAGGACCAGCCTGAGCAACATAGGGAGATCCTGTCTCAAAAACCAAACAAAGGGGCCAGGGAGATAGCTCAGTGGCATAAGTACCTGCCTTGCAAGTACAAGGTCCCAAGTTCAACCCCTGGTCTGAAAAAAAGGAAGGAAGGGAGGGAGAGAGGGAGGGACTTTTCTAACCAAAACTTTTTTTTTTTTTTTGTATTTAGGACAGGGTCTGACCAGAAACTTTTGAACCTACTGTCTTTTTCCAATCACCTTATATCACTGATGTCAAAATGGTCAGCAGAGTACACCTAAATCAATTCTCTCTTTTTTTTTTTGGCGGAACCAGGGATTGAACTCAGGCCCTTGCACTTGCCAGGGAAGCCCTTATTCCACTGAGCCATCTCCCTGGCCCCAGTTCTCTTATTTTAGACATGAAAAATCTGAGAAAAACTAGATTTGCTAATTTCAGGGCTAAATCCCACACCTCTAGAATTCTGGCTGAATCCCTGCTTACCACATTACCTCTGCTAAGACCTGATGCAGAAAAACTACCACAGAATTCTCTGGATACAAATTTCTGATAGAACTGAAAATAATAATAAAGCTGACTCTCAATCTTATTAGGTGAAGGGAATCTCAATTGTCTCACACTTTTGGGAATAACAGATAATTCTCTTGTTATATAGCTCCTCTCCATCTCTTTACTTTTATAAGGCTTTAAATGAAAATTTAAAGTATGTCTAGCATGCTCAAGACCCTGGGTTCAATCCTTATGTTATAAAATAATAATAATAATAATAATAATAATAATAATAATGATAATAACAACAATAATAATAGTGGGCCAGGGAGATAGAAGAGTGAAATAAGTGCTTGCCTGGCAAGCACAAGGTCCAGAGTTTGATCTGTGGTACCTCAAAATAAATAAATACATAAATATATAAAAACAATAATAATAATAGCAGCAGCAATAAAGAAAAACAGGTTTTAATTAAAACCAGACAAAGTATCCTACAAACAACCCAGAGAGCCTATTTGAAGAATGACATGAATCTGGCATATTTTTATCATCTTAATCACAAAACAAAGTTTAAAAAAAAAAAAAAAGTACATCAGTCTAGTAAGTATTGCCACATTTAAAATTCTCTTAATAATCCTAAATATCCAGAATTATTTCCATGATATAATTTTTACTGCAAAGAAGTTTTCACTGTTTGGGACTACACCCTAGGCTTTGTCCATATTCCTGTTTGTGAGACAATAAAGGCTTAAAGAGGCTAAGTAGGGACTGGGGATACAGCTCAGTGGCAGAGGGTTTACCTCATATATGTAAGGCCCTGGGTTCAATCTCAAGCACTAAACCCCCCCCAAAACATCAACAAAACCCAAAACAAAACAAAAAGGTTAACTAGCCTGAGGCCACACAAAAGGAAAAATGACAGAGGTAAGGTTGATTTCATGTCTGGCTCCTGATTTTAATTAACACTATTTGTTATACTACTTCCAGTGACACTGCTTGCAATCTACCATATATCCACGGGGAAATTCACTGATTACATTATTGCACTTACGAGACTGCTAGCATGGCCTCTGATATCCATTAAATGAATAACCTGTCCAAAATTACAGGCCCAGTTAGTTCTGCCAAAGGTACCAGGCCCAGTTGCCTTATCTCTTGGCATAGCTCTCCTCATTGAGCCTGCCCAGAGAAAATGAAAGACAAGTCTTCAAGGTATATAGAATTCTTTTCTTTATCCATGTAAGAATAAGAAACATTGATGCTGATGCTTATTTAAGAACTACAGCTGCTGTCACCATAACCCACGGTACCCAGCGTGAGCTCGCCCACCAGAAGAATATGAAAAAGCAGAGTGACTCAGTTAAGGGAAAGTGCAGAGATGATGGGCTTTCTGCTGCTGCCTGCAAGTAGAGTGACTCGGAGATCATGCAGCAGAAGCAGAAAATGGCAAACAAGAAGAGGAACCCAAGTAGCTTTGTGACTTCGTGTCCCACCCTCTTGCCCTGCACCTGTGTGCCTGGAGCCAGCCCCACCACGCTCGCGTTTCCTCCTGTAGTGCTCACAGGTCCCAACACCGATGCATTCCCTTTGCCCTGAGTCTGCAGTGAGTCCCTTTTGTGCTTCCTTCCCCTCAGGTAGCCTCTGTCCCCCTGGACCACTCCTGGGGGTGAGGAGGTTACCCTTTCCCAGTGTTTTTCATTCCTGTGGGGCAAACCCCAAAGTATTAAAAGTAGCTTTGTAAAAAAAAGAAAAAAAGAAAGAAAGAACTACAAACTGGGGGCCAGGGAGATAGCTTAGAGGCATAAGCACCTACCTGGCAAGCACAAGAACGTGAGTTCGATCCCCAGCCCTGGAACTGGGCATGGTGGCATACGCCCGTAATCCCTGCACTCGGGAGGTTGAGACAGGAGGATCTCTGCGAGTTTGAAACCAGCCTGGGGGCTACAAAAGTGAGCACAAGACCAGCCCAAAATGCATAGCAAGACCCTGTCTCAAAAAAAAAAAGAACTACAAACTGAATAACTGGGTATTAATAACGTTGCTGGGGAAAGAAACTATAAATGATGTTATATTGTAAAAATCCACACCAAATACACATAGTAAAGGTAAAATTCAAGTCAGGTGTGGTGATGCAAGCCTGTAATCCCAGCACTCTAAAGGGTGAGGCAGGGCAGGAACCAGTGAGTTCATGGCCAGCCGTAAACTACATAGCAAGACTCTGTCTCAACAACGAAAGGTGGGAGGGGGTTCCCTACCCAGGCACGGTTCTCAACTGCCAGATAATAAAGTCTAGATTCATATAGTTTCCATCTGTATCACATACTTATACCCTTGATTTTGTTATATCTAAATAACAATGTTACTTACTGTATCCAAGTATCACCTTACATGTGTTCAAATGAATGCTTTTGTAGAACTATTTTATTTTTTGAAGACAGTACAAAATATTGAAACTGAAAAATTACAAATGATACAGAATTTCACTTAACAAAATAATAGGAATTTCACAGTATCTGTTGCAATTCATAGTGTTGTCTTCCAACTAGTTATTTGTATTAGCAGATTATGCATGCAAAATTGGAAAAAAGAAAAAATATATAAGAAATTAAAAGGTCAAACAACTGGAAAAAAGAGACAAAATAAATTAACCATCATCTGCTCCCTTCCATAGACCAGAATTCACAGTAGTTGTCCAAACCATCCTGCATACATACATAAATATAGCTCTTTACCCCATTCCCTCTCCTGTCCCTCTCAACTCAGTAACTCTTTCCTTTTGAATTGTAGAACTATTTTTTATAATTTTTCAAGTTTAAGTAATCTCAACTCTGGCCTCTCAATAAGCTTCCCTGAATATGCATTCAGACAGCTTATAAAACAATTTAAGAAAGGTTAAAAATTGTGAAAAGCCATGTCAGCAAAGTTATGAAATTTTCTATAAATGAGACTTTCAAATAGTTGCACATTTAATAAAATGGAAAGGAATAAAATTCCAGTTTTATAAAGAAGCTAAACTACAACAAATAAGAAAAACCAGGTATCACAATATTCTTGCAAGCATTAAATTCTTAGAAATTTACACTTGCAAACTGTAAGTTAATAAATATTAAAATCTGTAATGTAAGTTAAATTAATTTTTACTCTGTGATGTAAGGTGAAAGTTCAATGAAAATTTCCAAACGAAATACAGACCAGACTACCAATAGCTGGGCATGGTTGTACATGCCTATAATCTCAGCATTTGGAAGGCTGAGGCAGAACAGCTTGTGAGTTCGAGGCCGGTCTGGGCTACACATTAAGACTGTCCCAAAACAAACAAACTAAAAAAAGCAAAATCTCAAACTGTACATGTATTCTATTGTCTTAAAACTCACTTGGCCAAATCAACCTTACAATCAGTACCTCAAAAAGCATTTAATCAGGGCTCATTATGTGATCTTTTAATTGCTGCAATTCAGAAAGTATTTAAAAATAAAATTGTAAAAACTTACTATAAACAATCCAGTATACCCCAATAAAAGGCCTTGGGAATAGAGGAGACATGAAAGACAGGTACCTCGTAGTTTGAGAGAAAATCTAGTAATTCTGATTGAGATGGGATGTACAGAAGTGGTTTCATCACTCGGCGGACAAACTTCTCAATGTAAACAGCACTCATGGGGCCTTTATACTCAATTGGTCCAAAACTAGTACCAAAAAAAAAAAAAAAAGAAGAAGAAAGACATCATGCATTAAACCTATAAAATATACCTAAAATGATCAATACCATAGATGAAAATATCTTTCTTTCATATCTGAGTGCTCCATAAAGAGGTAAGCAGCTTGCTTCACTCGGGAGATGACTAGAGCGCTAATTAAGGATCAACATTAGGTAGGGAGAGGTACAAGTGGCTGTTACTCTTCTGTGAACTTAATTCAACTGCAAACTAAATTCATTCTAGTCTCTGAAGGAAAAGTTAATTCCCGTATTATTTCTTTAAAAATAAAACCAAAAAAGGCAGCCCTGGAAAGTGCCTACATGCTAAAAGATGCCAGGATCTTTTCACAGTTCAGGGTAGTTAGGCTGCGTCTTTTTGTATGCTTTTCTTACACAAGAAATAATTTGAGAAGTTGGCCACTGTCCTACTAAATAGTAGTTATGAAATATCCCCACATGTACTTATACAAGAGATCATTAAATGAACCTTACACCTATTTAGAGCTTTACTGCAACAGAGAAAAAAAAAGCTAGACAGAAATGTGAAGTCAGAGGGCTGTGTAAGTAACCTTCCTTTCTTACCTTACAACTCTACTTAGAGACACAGGCATTCAATCCAGTACTGATAAACAAGGCTATCACCATTCAGTTTCCTCCTAAATTAATCTAAATTCTCACCAGCTCTCTTTTTTTTTTCACTAGCTCTTTCAATCTCACACAATACAGACAAATATAATTGGATGGGTGGTGGTAGGGTGGGGGAGGGACATAACATTTGTAAATTCATCAACTCCTTTACATTCTTTTGTAAATAAAACCAACACTAGGCTTACTGTTAAAAGCAACACAGACAGCACAATACTATAACAAATAGAAAAATTCACATATACACACATGATGAAATAATGTTTTAGTGTACACTTCACAATATGATGCCGAAGGGATACTGGCATGGAAACATGAAAACAGTATTGAACATGCATAGCTAAGCTAAGAATTTCATCAATTCAATCAACAATTTTTAACTTAAAGCAAAAAAAAGAAAGAAAAAGAAAGAAAAAGAAAGAAAGAAAAAAAAAAAATCGAAAAGCATCTGATAACTCATTTTGTAGCAAAAAGGAGCCAACCAGCCCAGAAATCTCATTTAATCAAGCCAGTAGACTTTGCTGAGTTTTCCTGGTAGGACTTTAGAAGGGTCCTAAGGACCTGTAAAGACTAACAGGATCCCATAATACAGAATGTAGAATACATTTTATCTATAAACTACAGACATTATTGCAGGATATACTGATCTGGTGTAGCCAGCTCTGAACTAGGGTTCTGAGAATCACCTGACTGCTTCAGACCCCTAAGAAGCCTCCTCTAGATTGGGCAATCCAAACCAAAGAAGCCTACTTTTCCAAACAGAAAAGCCTACTAGCTTCTTTAAGCAGCTACTGTAAGAAAAGCCAGTGTAACAAACTCAAACAACAACAGTGACAAAAACATACAATAGCAGTACTCTGCTCAGTAATGAGACTCAATGAACACATCCCCAAGTACTAATAACCAGAAGAACCTATGCTTCATAGAGCCCATAGCTGACAGAAACATTCATGTATGTATGCACCTAAAAGGTCTGGAGGACTATACAACATAAGAAAAAACTACCTTTTGGGAACTTCTGTGCCTTAAACAGTCTTAAGGCACACTGAGAATGCTAAGTGCTGAAATGAGTAGTAAGGAGTCTGAATTGACTTAAACAAGTAAAAACTTCATTAGGCAAAGATTGGTAATCTCTTCAAGCTAAGTACCAACTTCTAGTTCCTAATCTGTAAAACAAGAGGCTTGGACTAGATATTTCTAGTTTCTTTCTTTCAGTCTTTACAAAAGCTGGGGAGTGGGAAATAATATAAGACAATACTTTATGAAAATAACATTTGTACTCATTTCAAGGGAATTCTTATATCGTTATTTTTTTCCATAATTTTATTGAGAAATAGCAATGACACAGTTTCAAACCAAATTGGTAGGGCAGTTCCAATAATTAACACATTGCATACTGTCTGTCTTTCTAGTGCTTATTTGTTGTACAAGATGCAGACATGATATCCTATTTACAAACACTATTAGAATAAATCCCTATATTCATTGAATTAAGAGAATGTAGCTATATATCTATCCTAACCACTCTTTTTTTTATTGAGAAACAAATAGCAATGAAATAGTTTCAAACCAAATTAGTAGGACAGTTTCAATAATTAACACATTGCATACATTCTTCCTAGTGGTTAATTGCTGTACAAGATGCAGACATAATATCCTATTTACAACCTAACCATTCTTAATACACAGATTAAAAAATGGTCATTCATCTGTATCCCTTTTTTATTTCTGTCATTTAAATATTATAGGTAGGTGTGTGAACTCAGCAAAATATTCCAAAGTAGTCCAGTAGTCCATAATAGTACTGGGTCTTCTGCTTGACTGGCAATGTCAGAAGTTGTTGACCTGAGTCCCTTACCGCTCAACATAACAACATGGCTTTACTTCTTATACTCATATCAAGTTAAGTCCACCTCTGGACTGCTGGCCAGGACCATAACTCCTACTAGGCATCTGTGTCAAAGAGTAATGCAGGGGCCTCAACAGGGCAAGTTTACCATCCCTTACAGAAAAGATCCTTATCCCTTATCATAAGTCTTATCCCTTACAGGTAAGACTTGTGCTTACCTTCAAAAAGAAAAATGTAGTCCTGAGAGTTATTGTGAAAGTATTCTTTCCTATTTTTTTTTTAATTTTATTTATTTATTTGTGTGTGTGTGTGTGTGTGTGTGTGGCCAGCTCAGCCCACCAGGGGGTGGGGCTGGCTGGCATGTGGTGCTGGGGGATTGAACCGTGGTCCCTGTGCTTTGCTAAGCTTGTTCTAAGTAGGAGCTTTAGACCACTGAGCCATCTCACCAGCCCTGAAAGTATTCTTATATTGTAAAAACAAAACAAACAAAAAAACCCTACACTTTAAAACTTTAAAAGTGGAGGTTAAAAAAAACAACAACCCGTACTTAAACTGTAAAAAAGCCTGTCCCTTCAAAACAGAAGTAGAACCACCAAAAGTGGGGTGGAGGGTCCAAAATGTTTTTGTTTCTTAGGTTTTTGGCTTGTATGAGGGATTAAACCCACAAGCCTGCTTCCCCTCAGATACATCTTCAACCCTCTTCAAATTCTGAGATAGGGTCTTGCTAATTTGCCCAACCAAAACCCACATTTGAAATCCTCCTGTCAGCCTCCCAAGCAAGTAGGATTACAAGTGTGTACCATCACACCCAAGTCAAAAGTGGTTATAACAATCCCAAAGCAAAAACTGATGTGGCTAGAAATTGGGTAGTATAATTTTGGTCCAATACTATATAGTTTTGGTCCAATACTATCAGTTTTTCCTGGGAAACAATGCCACAGAAGAGTTTATATTAGAGATACAGAAGTGGGATGAAATGAGACAAAATTCATAAATGACATTGTACAAAGACTTGCTATAAAACTCTTCTGATTAAGGCCCAAGAAGTTCAGAGGCAGAGAAAACATGTCTAAAAAGTAGATACTACTGCTACCATGTTGACAGATGCCTATAATCCAGCACCTGGAGACTGAGGCAAGCTAATCAACTGAGTTCAAGGCCAATTATAGTGAACAAAACTCAAATTCTAAAATCTTAAAAAAAAAAAAAAAAAAAAAGCTCAAATTCCATCTGCTTCCATAAGCCTTCAGTTACATTCAGGCATTACTTAACGCCCACAGTAAGTATCTTCAGTCTACACAGCACTCCCATATCAAAAAAACAATACTTCCACAGTAAAAGAGGCACTTTGGGCCGGGGAGATGGCTCAGTGGAGTAAGTGCTTCTCTGGCAAGCACAAGGGCCTGAGTTCAATCCCTGGTTCTGCAAAAAAAAAAAAAAAAAAAAAAAAAAATCATATAAGAGGCACTTTATGTGGGATAAATACCATAGGGAGCCTCTTGCCTCCTCAGGTCAGATGAATTCAACTAGAGACAAAGTTCACAAAACTTTGGTTTTTCAGTCTCTTTGTGATTTCACAATCATGGAACAGTGGTTAAGTTTCTTCTCAATTGAAAAGATGATACCCTCCTTGACCATGTGATATTTTCAGGTTTCAGAATGAGCAATTTTGTATATGTGTGCATTGTAAAACACTTTTAAATATCTGAAATGTATAGCCATTCAATGGAATAATTCTTACTTTTAAAATCAATGTTGTAATATATACACTGACATAAGATATTCACAGAAATGAGAAAAAGCAGTTTAGGAACTAGTATTCCTGCTTGACCCCATCCTTCGCTTATAAAAAGAATGACATACACATCTATAGAAGGAAATAGACCAAAACACAGTAATTATATATGGCTAATAAATTTATCAATGTATTTTTAAAATTTTGTTTATCTGTATTTTCTCAATTTTCTACAATGAATATTTAAAGGCTGGCCAAACAGCTCAGCAGATTAAAGTGCCTGCAAGCAGGCACAGGGGCTGGGGATTTGATCCCTGGGCCTGCCATCCTGGCCCCGCCACCAGGACACACTGAGGCGGCAATTGAGACTGGGCATGGTGGCGCAGCTCTTGGTAGGCTGTAAATAGGTGGATCAATATGAGTCTGATCTAGTAGTGAGACCCTGAACAACTGTAGACCCTTTCCTAAAAAAAAAAAAAAAAAAAAGAATACTTAATGCTTTTAAATACTACAGATTCGTTTATATATTGAACTTAACTGAAATCAGAAACACTACTAAGAAGTCCTTACCTCCGATGATACAGGTGTATTACAGGAAAATAGAAGAAGTGTTTCTGTTTTCTGCATTTTCCCTGGTTCCACCAACAGTTAACTGCCACAAACAACACCTGCAGAACCAAACAAGGTTTCTAAATGACTATGAATAGCAACTGAACAGTTACCAAAATTTAAATGATGAAATTATAAAAGTGGAACAGTCCTTGCTTACTGAAAAAGAAAGTATTAAAAAAAAAAAAAAAAACTGTTTCAAGGTTTCAAAGGTCATTATTATTTTTTTAAAAACCCACAGAACATAAAAATAAATAAATAAAGACACATACTTCTCAATACTCACCTAGGACTTACACTCTGGTCCAAGAGGAACATTATTTACTCTGTATTTTAAAGTGAAGCCAGAAATGGTACTACACACCTATAATGCTAGCACTCTGTGAAGCTGAAGAAGGAGAATGACGATTCTGAACTCAACCTAGATGATTTAATGATTTAGTAAGACCCTGTCTCAAAATTAAAAATAAAATATGGCTGATGTTATAACCCAGTGTGAATGCCCTGTGTTCAATTCCATTAGTAGGCCCCACCGAAAAAAGGAATTTAAAAGTGAATGGATCAAAAAAATAAAAAAATTAAAAAAGGGCCGAGGAGATGGCTCAGTGGAATAAGCACCTCCCTGGCAAGCACAAGGGCCTGAGTTCAATCCCCAGTTCCACAAAAAAAAAGTGAAAGGATGGATGCCAAGGAGCTTTTTCCAAGTATGAACACACTAATGCTTAGAAGGGTATGTCTTTGAGGCTAGCTATACAGGTTTGCCTACCAAGAACAAGGATAACTTTGGTTCAGTCTCCAGTACCACATACATAAAAATCTAACAACAGAAAATAATGTCTTTCAATTGTCAAACTAAGCAAATGAAAATGTTATTGCAAATAAAATATCATACTAGGCGTGGTATACAATCCCAGCTACTCAGGAAGCTGAGGTTGGAGGGCCATAAGTAGGAGCTCAGCCTGGGTAATTTAGCAAAGACTCTGTTTTGGTTTTTTACAAAAGGCTAAGGATATATATAGCTCAGGCACAGAATGTTTTCATAGCATGCAAAAGCCCTGGGTTTGATCCCCAGCACAAATGTCACAGGACTATTTTTAATGACTATTTTAGATACTAAAACAGATTAATTAATCAGTGGTTTTAAGCCATGATAGCAACGACTACTAAAATATGTAATATACAGTCCACCAAAAAGTACACATCAGGAAAAGAAAAATTTGTATTAACATTTAATACTAAATTTACTGATAGCGTAAGAGTAATACAAGTTATCTTTGACCTCTATAATTACAAGAGGTGCTCAAAATGGTGGCCATTAGCTTCAAACATTTATTACCTTGGAGATCAGAAGTGTTATGCAATTTTATGGTGGCCAGTTTCTGTTTCTCTTTTCTTTTTTTAAAAAGGTGGATGCTTAAGTATTTAGGCAAAAGCATCCATCCCTAGGTCTGTGATTACTTAAAATGTACCCAAAATAAGATGGATTAATACATGTCTTGGAGCAGTGTTTCCCTACTATAGCAATATTGTTACTATAGGCTGAATGAACAGAGGGGTTTTAGGTTTTTTGTTTTTTCTTTTAATGAGAGGAAGTACTAAGAACTAGATGCAGGACGGTGTAGACAGCTTTCCCTATACTGATTCCACCAAAAGCAAACAGCACTCTCTCAAGTAATGATCACCAAAAATGTCTCCAGCCAAGAGTGGTTATACATATTTGTCATCCAGGCATATTGCTGAGGCAGGTGGAAGCAATTTTGAGCCAGGCTAGCCAACTTACTTTTATTGGTATAAAAGGACTGTGCGTTTGCCAGGCAGGTGTTTATGCTGCTGAGCTATCTCCTTGGCCCCAGCCTATTTGTGTATTTATAAATAATGTATTTAGTACAGGTTCTCACTACACAGATCGGATTCAGAGTGATCCTGTTTTCAGCCTCCCAAGTGCTAGGATTACAAGCATGCACCACCACACCCAGTCTCAGTCACCATCTCAGTGCGCCCCAGAGGTGGGGCCAGCACAGCTCACTGGGGATTGAACCCGTCCCTGCATCTGCCTAAACAGGCCCTTTAGTCCAGGGAGCTATCTGGCTGACCCCAGTTTAGCCAATTCAACAAAACCTCATTTCACAATAAAAAAAAGTAAAAGAAAGCGAGGCGCTAGGAACACAGCTCACCATAAAAACCCTGAGTTCAATCTTCTATAACACACACATGCACACACGTGTACACACACACACACACACACACACACACACACACATATATCCTGGGGCACATTGGCAGTAAAACTACCTCTAACAGAGAACCTTAGGATTACAGGATTGCTTAGATGAATAAAAACCTAACAAAATAAGCACAATGAAATGTGAACATAGGCAAGATGCAGTGGCACAGTACTATCATCCCAGCTATAGGGAAAGCTGAGGCAGGAGGAATACAAGTTCAAGCCTGAGCATCTTAGTAAGATACTGTCTTAAAAATTTAAAAGGCAAAGAGTTGTTGACTAGAGCCTTTTACTGCTCAGCATATCTTTACTTTATATACCTTGTTTTTATACTTTTCTGCTGGATGGTTAAGACTAAGATAAAGCAAGACCTATATAACAAGAAATGTAACTTTTGTATCTGATAACCCACTACTATTGTGGACTACTGGACTGTGTTGGATTGTTCTGCTGAATTCAAGCACCTATAATATTTAGATGCCAATAGAATACCCATCTCTGGGGCTGGGGAGATGGCTCAGTAGGATAAGTGCTTCCCTGGCAAATGCAAGGGTCTGAGTTCAATCCCCAGTTCCATGAGAAGAAACACACACACA